AGAAGTGTGGCATGCCCATGCGAATGCCCACCATTCGATGTCTCCCTGTTCTGCGCACGGTTTGGGAAAAGATGTTGGGCCGCCCCCTCCATGATGTGGCGTAGAGCCGCCGGCCCGCTTCCGCGATGCCAAAGAGCCTCGAAAGGCTCGGTTGGGGGATGGTCGCTTTTGCGACGATGGTTACCGACCAAGGCGGACTCGTTTCCATCACCCTCAACACCCCCGGGTTCCTTAAAGTTCTCCTCCGGGGCGCCGTTTTTAGACGCCCAGAAAAAAAGACATCGGCGAGAACAACTCTTTTCCAGGACGTGTGTGCTACGACCTCGTGTGGCCAAGCGCCTGCGATGCAGCAAGTGCACGCCCCTCGAGAAGAGCATCCTCAGGGATGCTTCCTGTGGAGCGATCTGGATTCGACAAAATATGCGAGAGGCAAAAGGACCTGATTACCCATCAAACTGTTCACTGGGATGCGGCAGCCCAGACATTCTTTTGCATCGTATCTGGAAGTGCCCGCGCCAGCAACACGAGAGAAAAAGGCTCGCCGACCCTGGGATCCTCGCTGGTATCGGTCAGCGCGTGGAACGCCGCAAACTCCGCTTTGCTGTGACCAGGGGAGGCTTCCCCCACCCTGGCGATGGGCCCACCCCCTTTAGCCGAAGGCTCCTGGCAGGTCGCGCGGCACTCCAGCGCCCCGCCTGATCTCATGGATGTCAGCGGAAAGATTTTGTATAGACGGCAGCTGCTCCACACTCCCTCTACCACAGAAGCCCGTCGAGCAGGTTGGAGTTGCGCTGCCTTTCGCGATAACATGTTAGCCTGTGAGATGCGTTGCCCAGTACGGGCCCCGCTGCCTCAGACACCTCAGAGTGCTGAGCTTTGCGCGCTCACTAGAACGGACATGTGCCCAGATGGAGAAGGCAATATTATTTCTGAGCGCATCGGAGTTGTAAAGGACTTCGCTGACTCTCGGGCGAGAACGACTCATATTAGGAGGCAATACGGTGGCCACGCTGCAAAGCTCAGAATGATGAAACGTGTGAATTCGTAGCCGGACTTAGATCAAGGCGCATCAGTCCCTGCAAGAGGAGGGTCTCAGACAGGAAGAACCTTCTTTGCACACTGGTAACCACATTGCTGACCTTGAGGCGAAAGCTGCAGCGGCTTTGCACCCAGAGGCGGATCCCGAGCTGCATGAGAGAACTTAGAAACACATCAGTTGTGTTAATTCGTTCTGCAGTCTTGCCATGAAACTGCTCGGCCATTTCCTCGCTTTCAAGGAGGATGGCGAGGTCCAGTACACGGCTCAACCTGCAGCAGGACGCAAAGCCAAGGAGCTCTGCCAATTCCCATGGCTTGCGAGGGGCTGGAGGTGCACGGTATGTTGCAAGCTAGGTCGGAATCCTCGAGCTGAGTCGTCACCGACTCGTGTGTGCACTAGCGCGCTTCGGTCCATCGATCTCGGCCAGGTTTCCGAAAATGATCACGGCATTGTGGCACGAGATCGTTCAGACGCTAGCACTTTGTATTTGTCTGCGTGAACTGTGCAGCATTTGTTCCTGTCGGCTCCTTACTCAAGGGCAAGTTGCACAATCGTCGCTGCTTGGGGGAGCTTGAGCCTGGACAAAGGACCAAATGGAAACGCAATTTGAAGGGCCAGCACCCTGACCCTAGGAATCCCCGGTTGCGTGTGGGCTCCGAGATCCTCCTTCGTGGCGGCACGGAACCGGTTCCAGTGCCACGGCGTCTGATTACCCTTCTACACGCGAAGATCGCCGAACATAAGAAGCAAGCCTCGGCTCTTCGTTTCGGCGACGCTCCGACGTCCTCAACAGGCACCCCTTTGGTGGTCGCTGATGATGCTAACGAGCCGCTGTGTGCCTTACCGAACGGTCAAGGACGTAGCGGTCAGAGTGCTAGCGCCGTGGCCTCATCCGAGAAGATAGATGCCGTTGACGAACGCCCTGTCCCGAGGAGTGTGAGCGAGCCCCTCGCTCCGGAAGGGGATGAGGCGCCACCTGTGACCGTGCCGCGCCCTGCTCCTGCGAGCGGCGTCCAGTCCAGGGTGCAACGTCCGCTGAGAGCTGCGAGGGGCCACCCGAGCGGGGAGCGGGGGTCGGAGCGGGAGGGGAGGGAGTCCGAAGAATCAAGGGCACGGAAGACATTCGAAATTCGCTGGCCACGCGGCATTCACACGAACGCCCGAGCCACATGATCGATTGACGTGCGCAGATCAGAAAAAAGGAAAATAAAAATGAAAAACGAAGACACAAATCCACGCTGAATTCACTCTTAGCACCGGCGAAACCAAGACGACCCAGACTGGGAGCCGCAGAGGCACGGCCTCGATCGCGGCTGTGGCACGGCCTGCCCTGCCCTTCGGCCCCTGCAACTCGCGCGAGGTGCACGGGCCCCGGAGACCACACGTCCTGCCCCCGCCGAGGCCTGCCCCTTTCCGCGCAGCCTCGCTGCCACTCGGTGGAGCCTTCGGCGTGTGCTGCCGGCGCGGTCCCTCGGGCAGGCCGGCTGCCAGAGGGGGGCCACCCGCCTGGGGGGCTCCGGGCACTGTCCCTCCTCCGCCGGACCCGTGCACGGCCCCCGGCCACGGTGCCGGCCAGCTTGCCGCACTTGCGGACGCGTTCTGGCGGCCGCTCAGACCAGGCCCGTGATGCGGCTGAAGCCTCGCGGGAAAAAATCCCCCCCCTCCTTCGCCTCCTTCTCCGCCGTCCCCTCCTTCGCCTTCTCCTCCTCCTCCTCCTCCTCCTCCTCCTCCTCCTCCTCCTCCTCCTCCTTCTCATACTCCTCCTCCTTGTACATAGCAGCATCTATAAATCATGAGCTCATATGCATGTAATCATATGCATATACAAATATGTACATATAGCGGTTATGAATGCATACCCCAACGATAAAGTGCATGACTAGATGTATTGAATCACTGTACAGGGTGAGCATGTGTGAATATATGATGTGCGAATACTACTACATAGATAGAGCCATATAGCGAATCAACGATGTGCAGCTGCAAAATACCGCATATGCATGAAACGATGCATATGTGTACTACTACAAACAACTGGACGCAAGACAAGTACATGTAACACTGCATATCTAAACATACATATACCTGTGTACATATTGCACAAAATGTTTCGTTTGTCGCGGGACGGCTTAATTTTACTGCTTGCCTACCCCCCCCGCTGACAAGCGTTCCGAACATGGCAGGCCATAGGTTATTAACAATATGACTAAACAAAATTCAACCCTCCAAGATCCAATGCCGCCCACGCCGACCGCGCTACCGAGAACCGACCGAACAAACAGCAAAAATGAAACCGACCGGAACCGACAGGCCGTAAGCAGCAGCCTAGAAGGGCGCAGCGATGCAGCACCGCAACAACAAACCGAGCCGAACCGACCGAACGCCACCGACGGCGACGCAGCCAAACCGACCGAGCCGCGGGCACGCTGGGGATCTGGGCATCGGGTCGGACGAAACAAGGGGATTGGGAATGAGAGAGTCGTGCGGTATCTGCTGCACGTAGCTGGCTTCGACCCCGTCGCTGGGCGTCTTGCTCGATGCGCTGGCGCCCCTGCTGCCTGGAGGCGCCAGGAGAAGCAGCCGAATGCAGCGGCCCTGCTACAGCCATAATGCCACAATGATTTATGCTGCTCCCATCGTACTTAAGGACCAAATCCCAGAAACAATTTCGAGCACCCAGAAAAGTGTCGAAAGAGTGCTGAAAGAGTGTCGAAACAGTGTCGACCGAGTGTCTCCCAGGGCCCGACACGTGAAACCCCTAGAGTTCAGATACTTTTTCCTGGTGCTCGAAATTCTCTCTGGTGGTCAAGGCTAAAGCAGGTTGGAACATCACAAACCATGTGGAACGCTGAATAAAAGCACGGGAGGAGCTCTTCTCGTCACGGCGAGCCTGGGCCCAAGGGCCCCAGGCCCGAAATCTCAGGAGCGGCCCGAAGACCGGAGCCCTCCTGAGCACAGAGCGGTGGGGAACAGGAAAGCAGCCACGTCTAGAGGGCAGAAGATCCACCCCGACAATAACCACCCCGACACGCGAAGCCGTTCAGCAAACGCGCCCAAAGAAAAAATCGAACAGGGCAGGGCTGTTTAGTAAACGCCCAGGGCCGTTTAGTAAACGCCAATTGTCAGGTCCGGGTGGCTTTTCCTCCCTTGAATGTCAGCACCGGCCTCCGAAGGAGTTGCGCGAGTGCCACCAGAGCCGCCCGAGCGCTGACCTGACCAACCAACTGTGCAACTGCCGCCCCGAGGCCACAATCACTCAGGTCAGCACTCGGGCCTCAATGGCCTGGATCCGCCATGGGGGGTTCACGATACACTACATCGATGCAGACATGTGTTTTGCGGACGTTTGCGAGCAGGCACATTGCGAGTAGTGGAACGCGCTCGGTGAGACCCGACTCGAACACTGACCCGAACGCTGACCATAGAAAAAAGAAAAACAGCATAAGCATCAACTGCTGTTGGCGCTCCGCGCGGGTTTCTTGGATCCGCGCTGGACCCCCCTCCCTGGCGCACGGAGCGCGCCATTGGCGGCGCTGGAGGCGCCACCGGGGGGGCCCAGCGCGGATCCAAGAATTCCGCGCGGAGCGCCAAAAGTCTATCTTTATGCCGCTGTTTCTTCCTCTAGACCAGACCATCCCTCTGATCCCGACCTGGCTGCACCCCCCCTCTCTGCCAAATAACCCCCTCTGCCCACCCGTGCGAGCAATACTTCTGTCCATGTCCACTGCGGCATGGTACTTCGGGCTCCCTCCCCCAGAAGCCCGAGGCGCACCGGATATGGATATATCAGTGTGCCCCCGAAGGGGCCCGGTGATGATCCATGGCCGGCGCGTCTCGGCCTTGTGGCGCCCCCTCCAAGAAAGTCCAAGACGCACTGGATATGGACAGAAATCTTGCCCGCAATCCGCCCCCGCCCCGCCCGCCCCGAAGAGGGGGCGCGGGCAGGGCGGAGCGGGGCCGCTCCTCCGCGAGGCGGGGCCCGCCAATGAGGGCAGGGCCGCCTCGGACGTCGCCCTCGGGACGCCTGCCGGGAGGGGGGGGGGGGCGCCGCGCGGGGAGGGGGAGGAGGGGACGGGGGGGGAGGAGGAAGAGGGGAGGGAGGAGGAGGAGGAGGAGGAGGAGGAGGAGGAGGAGGAGGAGGAGGAGGAGGTGGAGGAGGAGGAGAAAGAGGAGGAGGAGGAGGAGGAAGAGGGGGAGGAAGGGAGGAGGGGAGCGAGGAGGAGGGGGAGGAGGAGAAGGGCGAGGAGACGGGCTAGGATGGAGAGGGTGGGGGCGGGCGAGGAGGACGTGCGGAACGAGGAGCATTCCTGCAACTATTGGCATCCTGGCTTGCTGGTGCTTCACATCTATATGATCCTCTCGCCATGGCCCCGATAAAGGGTCAAAAGAAAAGAACATCCTCTACGGAACACCGGAAATACAACGTGCATGCACCCTTTTCAACATAGCCCCGACCAAAACCAGCACAACATGGTGCACATCGCGCGCGACAGCGCGAAATGTCGCCTTCGTCCAAAAAGCTCTGGGCAACCTGGTCCTGAAAGTTACGCTACCGCCTGGGCTCTATGCATGCGCTTCGACAGCTAAGCCTGTCGGAAGCGGGCGCGCGCGAGCGCGCGGTACAGCAAGATATTCGCAACGCCCAGGCGCCAAGCAACATGTCTTCAAAAGTTGCGCTCCTGCGCGGTGGATGTCTTGCGCACTCCAGTTCGCTGGGAGCGGGGCTGCAAGTGCACGGTTCCTTCATTCCCATGGTTTGATGCTCGTTCTGAGAGCCTTGCTGGAGCCACTTCCTCATTCGTCGATGCTGCGTCGAACGTCCGTCGCCTTGAGTCGGACTTGAGTCAAACTTGAGTCGAGCTGGAGTCGAACTAGAGTCGAACTAGAGTCGAACAGGTCCGTTCAATTTTTTGAGTCGACCTTGAATCGAAATCGAGTCGAGCTAGAGTCGACTAGAGGCTCATGAAACACCATCCCAAGGCCAACCACTCAAGCGGCAGCTGGCGCCAAGACACCACTCGCACTGACACTGGAGTCTAAAGCGATGCCGTGACGGAGGAGGGAGGGGCCGAACAGATCGGTTAGGTGGGCCCCAAGAAGGTCTCAGAAACAAACACCCAGCCAGGGGTGCACGACCTCTCGTCGGATCGGACGGAAAGACGGGTGCAGGCAAAAGGGGGGGGCGAACCAGCTCAGGCGGCTAGTATTCCTTGATGGGCAAATCTTCCACCACCACTACCATCTGTAGGGCAGGGGAGAAGGGAGGATGAGGCGGTCCTCCTCCTCCTCCTCCCCTTCCTCCTCCTCCTCCTCCTCCTCCTCCTCCTCCTCCTCCTCCTCCTCCTCCTCCTCCTCCTCCTCCTCCCACTCCTACCTATGGTAGCGGTGGTGGAATATGGGCCCATCATTCCTGGCGCCTCCTTGCGCGGGAGACGCCGACGTGTCGAGGAGTGCGCCCTGCGCCAGGGCCGGGACCGGCTGCGCGTGCAGCAGATGTCCTGCCCCCCTCCCCCACCCTTCCGCACCTGCCGGGGGGGGGCCCAAAGCGGTGCGGTGACGGACCGCGCGCGGTGCCCTCGACCTCGCCAGAGAGGCCCCACCGCACGGCCCCTCGCAGCTCGGCCCTGGGAGACGGCAGGCCTCCGAAGCCCGAGGCGCCCTCAGGGAGCGACCCCAAAAGCCCAAACTGCTGCCGGAAGCCCTTCACTGGCTCCAGGGAAACCAAAAGGTACCGGCCGATACCGCTACTCCCCGGATCTCTCCCGGGGCGCGTTCTGATCAGAATGTTGAGGCGAATCCAGCGGCGGCGACGAGAGCCTCCCAGGAGGCCCCCCAAAAGGGAAAACGAGGGAAGAGTAGCAACGTGGGTACCTTTCCCAGACATCCGGCTGCTCCACCCCCTTCGATGCGCCGACCTCGGAACTCCGGACCACTTCCCCGAGACCGGTTTTGCGTCCTGGGTCGTTTCCTGACGCTCCCGAGGCCCGGCGAGGGCCCCCGGAGGCCGCAGACGGTTCAAAACCGCACGCTCCCATTTTTTTTTAGGGGGGGGAGAGCGTCGGAGCTCCGGGCTCCCTCCGCTGGTGATCGCCGCGGTGCGGTGCGGCCCCCGCCCCTCGCGGGGCAGGCCCCCCTTGCGGGCAGCGGGCGGCCGCAGCGGGCGGCCGCCGCGGGCGGCCGGGGGCCTCCGCCCGCGCCCAGCGCGCGGGCCGTGGCCGCCAGCTCGGCGGCGCGCGAGGGCGAGCCCGGGCGCACCAGGGCCCTGCGGGTCGGCGGGGCGGCAGGCGCGCGGGGGCGCCGCAGGGCAGCAGGCGCTGCGGGCCAGGGGGGCGCGCGGCGAGGACGCCCCAGGAGAGCTCCCGAGGAGGCCCCCCATAGGCAAAGCTCTCATGCATGTTCCGTTGCTTTTTTGTTGGCGACGTTCTCGCTTTTGTCCACTTCCCGCCGCTCCGTGACGGCGCAAGAGGCCCCCAGGATCGCCCAAGAACGGCCCAGGAGGACCCCAAGCTAGCCCCAAACGCCTCCAAGACGGCCCAAGAGACCTATAGACCCCCCCCGCGAGCAGCGAAAGAGTCACGACGGACGGGTGTTCGCCGTTCTCGGCCTCCGGGGGCCCCTTCCCGGGGCCTCGGGAGCGTCAGAAAACGGCTCGGGATGCAAAACCAGCCCCGGGGAAGGGGTCCAGGCCTCGGGGGGTCGACGCTGCGACAAAAACCGCGACGCCGGGGGTCTGGGGATGAGGAATTCATCATGTTCGGGATTCCTTTTCCAAGGGTTAACCCTTGGAAAAGGAATCACGAACATGCAGGCCGGCGGAACGACAATGGAGGCCTGGCCAGGGACATCGCCGCCCGCCCTCCTCACTACCGCCAGGAGTCCAGCCTCCTGGGCACATTCCTTGACGAACGAGCCCCCACCGTGAGAACCAGATCGGGCAAGGACAAATATACACAAACGGCTGCTTCCCTGGCCAGGGACATCACCGCCGCCCTCCTCACTGCCGCCTGGAGTCCAGCCTCCTGGGCACATTCCTGAACGAACGCGCCCCCACCGGGAGAACCAGACACGCACACACGCACACGCACGCTCACACACACACACCACACACACACACACGCACACACACACTCACACACATACACACCTATATATATATATATATGTGCATGTGTATACATATATATATATATAGATTCACACATTCACACATTCACACACACACACATGACACTCCTGGAATTCCACCCCGAGGAATCTAGAGGTTGCAAAAGTGGTGGTGCTAGCTAAGTGTCCGCTAATGAGTCGTATCGGCCAGCTTTTCTGAGGTGATGGCCTCCGGAGGCCGTTTCCGGGCTCGGAGGTCGTCGTCAACATTGAAGAGCCGTCCAGGGGGAAGGGGTCGAGATCCTTAGGGGCCCACGTCACGGAAAAGATGCGACGCGAGAGGACAGGGAAGTCGACAGGCCCAGGCTTTTTTGGGTGCTTGGGGGCCAATTCTCCCAGTTTTCGTCGCCACTGACGCGTGAATCTCGGAAAACTATACGATGGGCCCCAGGAGGGGCCCGGGGGCCGAATCTGAGACCACGCCTCCTGTTTGCTCCTTGTCTGCCTCGAGGCTCGGGGACCGATGCCCTGGGGCATGTGTTGGGCCTCCGACATCCTGAAAGATCGGCATGGAGGCATCCTGCTCTGGTCTTCCGGGGGCCGCGTTCGAGCCCAGGGACAATCAAACAGCTACTCTGGATGCAAAACCTGCCCCGTAGCAGGGGTCAAAAGGTCTGGGAGCCCACGACATGAAATAATGGTGGCGCCGGATACCTGGGTGGCGAAGGTAAAGCTCTGGAAGCCATGGAGATCCTGTCGTTGGCCCATCTTGCCGGGGACGGGGGGAACGTTCGCCTACGCTGCCCGCCAGCTTCCGCTGACCGAGCCGCCCTCGTTTTATTTCCGCCTGCCTCCGCGGAGAGAGGGATGCCGACTTCTCGGCTATTCGAAGACGACAGCCTTACTGAAGACGCCCATCTGAGATCATTATGCCAGGCAGCTCTGGAGAGAAGCACCACGCATGACAGATGGACTGCCAGAAGCTGGCAACCACGTGCGCCAGACACGATCACATCAACCCTTGTACATTCAGACTGTGAACTTTGCCTTGATTGCATGCGCCCACGGAGCTCGATTCCCGCCCCCTTCGTTTTCGATCGTACACCTCATCTTTTGGGGGGGGGCTCCATCTCTCTCATGTCAGCCAGCTCTTGGGTAAAACCTCCTCCTCCCCGTCCTCCTCCTCCTCCTCCTCCTCCTCCTCCTCCTCCTCCTCCTCCTCCTCCTCCTCCTCCTCCTCCTCCTCCTCCTGCGAGGATAAGACAAGCGGGACGGGCTGGCGGACGCTGAAGGACGGGACGGGCCCTAACAAGGGGCTGGGCGGGCTAAACATTAACCGGGCGGGACGGATGGAACAGAACAGTTGGCGGGCGGGCTTCCAAATAAACAAACGAGCAGATCTTACCCCGCAGGTCGGGCGGGCAGGACATGCAAGCGGGCGGGACGGGGTCGGCCAGGCGTACCCAACGGGTGGGGCTGGGCGGGCAGACGCAAAGGGCGGGTCGGGCGGGCGGGCCCGAACGGGCGGATCGGGCTGGCGGACCCTATCGGGCGCCTGAGGCGGGCGTGATGTTTGAATTTGCAGACAAGAAGACCCTGGAGGGCGTGCAAGCATGTCAGCCGCAAGAGCGCGATACGTGAACACGACGAAACGAAATCCCCAGCGAGAGCACGCTTATTGAAAGGCGAAAGCGCGATAGCGCGATACCAGAGTAAGTCAAGAAGAAGTGTTTGCCGACAGCGCGATCCTAGAGCACATCACACGACAATCGCGAATGAGAAAGCGATTATTGAACAGACAGCGCGGAAAACCAAAGCGGAAATCGTTATTGTTCTAATCCGCAGATTCAACAGCCGGCTGGGCGGGCGGACCCTAAGCGGCCCCAAGAGGCCCCCAAGACGGCCCAAGAGACCTCCAAGACGCTCAAGATGGCATCCAAGACGGCCCACGAGCCCTCCGAGACGTCCTCCAAGAAGGCCCGAAAGGGTCACAATGGCCTCCAGACGGCCAAGAGGACCTTCAAGATGCATTCCGACGGCTCAAGACCGCCCAAGAGGCCCCTAAGATCGCCCCAAGATCGCCCACGAGGCCTCCAAGATGGCCCCATGACGGCCCAAGAGGCCCCCAAGACTGCCCCAAGAGGGCACAAAGACGACCCAAGAGGCCTCCAAGGCACCTAAGATGGCCTCCAAGACGGCCCTGGAGCATTCCAAGAGGGCCCCAAGTCGGCCCAGAAAGGCCCCCCAAACGGCTTCCGACGGCGTCAGGCGGGCCAGGAGCCCACCAAGATGGCCGAAGTTGGCTCGAAGCTGGCCCAAGACGGCCCAAGAGGCTTCCAAGAGGGCCTCCAGGAAGGCCAGAACATGTATTTGAAGAATGTGCTTCGTTTCGGCCTTCCGACGGCCCGATACGGCCCAAGAGCCCCCAAAGATCGCCCAAGAGGCATCCAAGATGGCCCCAGAACGGCCCGAGAGGCCCCCGAGACGACCCCAAGAAGCCCCCAATACGGTTCAGGAGGCTTTTAAAACGCCCAAGATGGCCTCCAAGACGGCCCTGGAGCATTCCAAGAGGGCGTCGGACGGGCCAGGTGCCCACCAAGACGGCCGAAGATGGCACTAAGATCGCCCAAAACTGCCCAAGAGGCCTCCAAGAGGGCTTTAGGAAGGCCCGAAAAGGGCCCAAATCGCTGATTTCCCATAAGTTTTTGAAGGAGTGTGGCATTTGTATTTTTTCTGCCTTCCGACGGCCCAAGACGCCCCAAGTGCCCCCAAAGATCGCCAAAGAGGCCCAAGACGGCCCCAAGAGGCCCCCAAGACGGCCCAAGAGACCTCCAAGACGCTCAAGATGGCATCCAAGACGGCCCACGAGCCCTCCAAGACGTCCTCCAAGAAGGCCCGAAAGGGTCAAAATGGCCTCCAGGCGGCCAAGAGGACCTTCAAGATGCCCACGTGTTCCCCGAAGGCTTTCCAAACCGATTCGGGGAACACATGGTCCGATAGCTTGGCAGGTCTGGCCTCAACGTTCGGCCACATAGGCGTTTCCAAAAAGGCAGGGGGCAGCGGAGATTCGCCGTAGACATCTTCGATCCGCCGCCCCCTGTTGATTCATCACAAGGGTGCCTGGCGTGCTGAACCCTTTCGGTCTTGGTGTTGGTTTTTGTTCCAATAGAACTCCCCCTAGCGCTTCGGCCCAGCCCGCCAGGGTCCTGGAAAGGACCGGAAACTGCACATGTCAATGCCTGTCCCGCTCCAAGATGGCCCAAGATAGCCTCCAAGACGGCTCAGCTGGCCCGAAATGGCCCTCAAGTTCGCCTAAGATGGTTGAAGATGACTTCCAAGACCGCCCAAGGTAGCCCAAGATACCTTCAAGTACGCCCAAGAAGCCTCCAAGACGGCCCAAAAGGCCTCCAAGAGTTCCTCCAGGAGGACCCGAAGAGGCAAAATTCATTGAGTACCCTTTGATGTTTGAAAGATGTTGGCATTTGCGTCTTCTCGGCATCCCGACGGCTCAAGACGGCCCAAGAGGCCCCCAAGATCGCTTCAAGATTACCCACGAGGCCACCAAGATAGCCCCATGACGGCCCAAGAGGCTCCGAAGACGGCCCCAAGAGGGCTCCAAGAGGCCTCCGAGACGGCCAAGATGGATTTTAAGACGGCTCAGATGGCCCCAAGATGCCTCCAAGACGGCCCCAGATGCACCAAAAACAGCCTAAGATGGCCTCAAGATGGCCCAAGCCGGCCCAAGAGGCCCCCAAGAGGCCTCCAAGCGGCCCGAGAGGCCTCCAAAAGGTCCTCCAGGAGGACTCGAAAAGACCCAAATCATTGATTGTCCTTGGTTTGTTCAAGGATTTTGGCAGTTGCTCTTTTTCGGCATTCCGACTGCTCAAGACGGCCAAGAGGCCCCCAAGATCGCCCCAAGATCGCCCACGAGGCCTCCAAGATGTCCCCTATGACGGCCCAAGAAGCCCCCAAGACGGCGACCTCCAAGACGTCAAAGATACTCTCCAAGACGGCCCTGAAGCGCCCAAAGAGAGCCCCAACTCGGTTCAGAGAGACCCCCAAGACGGCTTCTGACGGTGTCAGACGGGTCGGGAACGCCCTAGGACGGCCAAAGATGCCCCCAAGAAGCCCCCAAAAGCCTCCAAAGAAGCCCTCAAG